TCGGCTTCCAATATCAATTTTATTCCCTCCACTAGTGAGTTTATGTGTGTCAAGAATCCTTGAATCGTTGTTCATCAAATCTACACCCAACATATGCAATACGAATGATTCATCACTCATACCCGAAATATGGAAAATACTATTACCAATCAAATCAAGTGAAAAACAATGGAACTATATAAATGAATTTAGGAAGTCGTGTGAGTATACCTTGATATGATTATGAGCGGCAATAAATTGTGCTCGAAACACTGTCATCAGTAAACATTACTGTATAACACGGCTGTGAGATTTTATCAAAACAAAATTTACCCATAATGGAATTATACTCTACCACCACAGTGCACAAGTTGTATTCTTATATCAGTGAGTAAATTAGCCATTTTCGGCTATTTATGCGAAATCCTTAATGTATATATATATATATATATATGTATATATATATATTGGTAACGTAATTGATTTCTCTAATGTTTTACTGACTCTACTAAATGACTGAAGAGAAGATTGATTGATCGATTGATGAGTAGGCTAACAGCTTCTTATCGATTTCTGCCTAACATTTTTCTCAGCTAACATTTTTATCAGAGTGTACAGCGTCATCGTCCTTTTTTATTTTTATTTTATTGATCACACTGAACTACATAGTTAATGGTGCTAACAGTTACATGCCTTATTCTTTAATAATACTTCTTGACGTCATATGAAGTGTGAATGTGAGAGGATTAAATTACTGCCCAATGTTCAGTTTGAACTCTACAAATCCTCCCCTATTTTGTGTATTACACAGAGTTCAGAAGGATGAAATACCTGGTTATTTTTTTTCTTTTTGACAACCACAAGGAAAACATGCTGAAACTACATTCAAAAACTCCAGCTACTCGAATTCAATCATATCCCAAACTGTGGTGAATTAAAATCGAAAGTCTATAGTGAATTATAGTCGATGGCACAGCGACAGAATGCTCACCGACCACGTAGGTGGCCCGGGGTTCGATCCCCAGCCGATGCATTCCACCTTTACCTCGCTAAGCCAGTTATTTATCCGATAAAGAGGGAAGGTTGGGGGTCATGAGGCTAGAAACCCCATCTCATAAAAATAATCACCACTGCTACAGAAACTTCAGGCCTCTAGCTTGAAGCCCTATTTTCCACTGGGAACGTAAAGGAATAAAAAAATTAGTAAATTGATATTTTCAAGTATTGGTTTGGTAGCGATTTTGTTTAATTGCATGGAGGATTTCATCATGAGCTGACATCAGTTAGAGAAACACTGGAAAACCTGGGAGTACTGGACAGCTGTTTCGTCCTAGTTTGGGACTCTTCAGCAGTACGCGCCTACCGGGATTCGAACCCAGGACCTTCTGGTTACAAGGCGAGCTCGTAGACCATTGAGCCACTGGGACTCGATCCAATGGTCCTTGAACTCTAACTTCTGCCAATTCACGACATAGCTCGACCATTTCGCAATGTCGCAATGGGTCCCAGTGGCTCAATGGTCTACGAGCTCGCCTTGTAACCAGAAGGTCCTGGGTTCGAATCCCGGTGGGCGCGTACTGCTGAAGAGTCCCAAACTAGTCTGACGAAACAGCTGTCCAGTACTCCCAGGTTTTCCAGTGTTTCTCTAACTGATGTCAGCTCATGATGAAATCCTCCATGAAATTAATATTTCTTGATTGTAACTACCGTAAATACTTCGAATGAATGGCAAGTCATCACCTAAATAAACATATTTAATTGAATTTTAGATTTTCCCAACTATTGATTGGATCGAAGTGCTCGGTCTCAGGCCCAAGTGGTCTAATGGATTACGCCTTGGTGTTTGAAACTATGGGCACTGGGTTCGAGCCTCGGGGTGGGAACATCATCAACATTCACTTCGGAATGCAGGTACGTCCACCAGATGACGAGTCCCAAATGGGACGAAATGCGCATCCTCGTGGATTCCACTACTGGTCATCACCCACCAATTAACTAAATAAATTTCAAGACTTTTACCCAGATTCTTATCAGGGTATGATACCAGTTAGGGGCTACTGGATACCATGTGGAGCAGCTGGATAGCTGTTTTGTTCTGATAATACACACGAAATCTACATTGACACTACTGATATCTTCACAAACATGAATTATAACTATGAATGCCTTCTTTTCTGTTATCTGTAATCTTTATCACTCTCACCGGTTATTAGATGTACAAAAGATTTATAAATACAACATAAGAGGTAGGTATTTCAAAGAATTCAATGGTTCTGCCACTTGTTCAAATTTGGCATCAAGAGTTTGATTAAATTAACCATCTTGTCATGACACCATTAGTAAGAGTTTGAGGAGAAGTTTATGAAGAATAGGTAAATTTTACCAATGAAGGAATACACATAGTTCCGGATTTATTAGTAGTATATCAAGAGGAATCGGAATGGCAAGATATGCACGCCTTCATCTACCTGAAACCAGTTTGAAAATCTTCTGCACTCTACCTCAGCCAGCATAAACAACAAGATTCGGATTTTATTCAACACCACTGTGAAGTCGGTTCTTCTATACGGGTCAGAAACGTGCACGAAAAGGATTTCCAACAGTCTGTTGCAGACTTTCATCAACAGCTGCCTTTGCTCCATACTTTCTGGCCGACCAGCTGGCCAGAAAGAATAAGCAACAAGAAACTGTCGGGACAAACCAACCAAGAACCGATTGCTCAACAATTATGTAGGAGAAAATGGAGATGGATAGGGCATATATTAAGGAGACCGCCAAATGATATCGCACGCCAGGCCCTCGAGTGGAAGCCAAATGGGAAGCAAGGGTGACATGAAGGAGATCATGTGGCGAGGAAGGGATGAGAAAGTTTGGTCAATCGTGGACCCAACTGAAGAGGATGGCAGAAAACAGAGCATAGTGGAGATGTGTTGCTGAAGTCATATGTTCCACTCAGAACTCAGGGAAATAATAATAATATCAAAAGGAACTCATCCAAAGTTGATTATCATTTTTCTTGAGGAGGTATTAAACTGCTGAATTATTCATTTGACTCGTGTATTCCAGTTCTTCACAAAACTTCATATAGTCGGACCAAACTTCCTCATATTTAACTTAAATTTTACCACCAATTAAAATCGCCCAAGATAAATTTAAGCAACCTATCTGCTTGATAGCCATTACTGAGAAATATTCACGAGGGTATTGGCAACTTAGTTTCAGGCGTTTCATTTTGTAGAGATTTCATCCATTTCAAGTTTAATGACGAAGTGAATTCAGCTACAGAACCATTATCGATTCTGCCTAACTGTTTTCGACATAGAACTTTGCACCGATGTGCAGCATTTCAATTCGCCACACTCCAAGTACCACACAAAGCCAGAGAAGAAAGTAAAAAGAAACGCAAAACAGAGGCAGCAAAAAGAGATATGAGGCAAAAGGAATAGTAATATGGAAGAATAATATAGTTTTCTTGGGTATTATAAGTCACAAGCATTGGATACATCCACGACACTCATTGAGAACGATCACTTTGAGCCATATCACCGACTGTCTCCAGCCACCATTGGCTTTCACCGTCCCGAGGACCCCAACCAGTCAGGAAGTCTACACCTTCCTACGTGGCTGGCTGGCTGGCTTAAACTAACTGTTATGGATTCCATTGACTGATGAAGCCGTGTTTTGGTTTGAACACCACTGGCTCTTTCCCAGCCTGACCCTATGTCAGCGATCCCATTATCGATTGTGAGATATATCACAAATTTAGACATTTGGAAAACAGAAAGATTGAGCGAAGAAATATTTACCTTTCAATTAGATCCTCATCTCACTCTGGCTCTACTCTAACATACACAGACAGCATTTTTATTACAATACACAATAGTTTACCAATCACGTGGCACTGATATCTTTGTTAACAATAATTAAACAGTGTCAAAATGTCAGTGGGTTGATAATTAACGAAGAAAATCAATACACGCAATCAAAAGGTAGAAATGGATAGAATAAATTAATTTCACAAGGATAACACGTAATTAAAGATAAAGTGGTCAAAATAAATATAAATAAAATAATTTGGACAATTATTTTTATAGTAATACTGCATTTAAAATTATTTATCGCATTCCGACTAATCTTAATTTTGCTCTACGAGTTCGTCTTCTACATACAACAGCTGAAGCAATCGGAATCCACCTTAAGAAGCCAAGCCTATGTATATGTTCAGAAGAAATTTGTACAGCCACTTTCCTTACATCGTTGCATGAATGTACAAATCGGACTACTTCACCCCCCTTCCCCTAAACCTTAAAAATTACAATTGTGCAAATTAATTATTTTATTTTTATTTTGACCACTTCATCTTTAATTACGTGTTATCCTTGTGAAATTAATTTATTCTATCCACTTCTACCTTTTAATTGTGTATTGATTTTCTTCGTTTATTATCAACCCATTGACATTTTGACACTGTTTAATTATTGTTAACAAACATATCAGTGCCACTTGATTGGTAAACTGTTGTGTATTGTAATAAAAATACTCTCTGTGTATGTTAGAGTAGGGCCAGAGATGAGGATCTAATCGAAAGGTAAATATTTCTACGCTCAATCTTTCTGTTTTCCAAATATCACAAATTGTCAGAAGTTAGATTTCATAGTCCGACCATTAGATTCAAACCCGGTGGATTTGTAACCATGAAACTTCTAAGCCATACCCCTGGTGTGGGGGGGGGAAGGAGTCATGGATTCACACTACCACAGAAAGATGAAATAACTTTCCAGTCCTACCTGATAGTTTTAGTGGTTCTCCCCACTGAAATCAGTTCTTAATCATACTTGAAACTTGGTTTCAACTCAGCAGCATCGCTTACTACAAATTCTGTTCTGTTTTTAAAAAAATTCTTTCTCATATGGTTTCATGGTGGATTCGTGACACTTACGCCCCCCCCCCCCCCCCAGTAAGAAAACTTCTCAAAAACATTAAAAACACTTAGAAACACATACACACTCGCATATACTTACCGTAATAATACAAACTGAACACTGTGTCACGTTTTAAATTAGTAATTTTAAATATAGCTTTAGCAATCCACTCCAGATTCATTGATTTCGGTGAACCATAATACTGAATTCGACAGACTTCAAGATTATTATCGGATCTTAAAGATGGGAAAATAAATTTCACCAACATTTTGATTTTATTGCTGTTGTTGTTGTTGTAAATGGATAGTGTGGTGAGAAATGATCTTTCAGTTGAAGGCACGAAGATACCCCAAGACACCAAAGTGTACTTCACTTAGTACAACTATTTCTGTTACGTTGTGGTCAATAAATCCAGAGCATTAAGTCACAAAATAATTTCTACGTCTGCTGTATATGCTATTAGCTATGATGAAATAGTATCAAATGTCTGTATATATATATATACCTATATATATATATATATATATATATATATATATATGTCTATATGTGTAGGCACGAGTGTTCACGTGACTTCATGCATCACACAAAATCAACCAATCAAATTTGAGCATTCGACTTTGTGTGCACACAACTATGACAATGGTATTCATTGCATAAATAAATAGTAATAAGAATAAAGGGTTTTGTATATCCCAATGAATGAAAAACAAAACGATATTGTTGGTTTTACTGACGTTTCGCTATTTAATGCTGCTGCTAATAGCTTTATCAAAGCAGTATTATTAAACCAGAATTTACAAAATCCACTCAGCTTATATATAACAAAGAGTTAAGGGGTGAGAAAATAGACTACTTAGGTCAAGTTAAAAGGGGGACATATTGAAAGTCAAAATAACAATGAAGATCACTAAACTTGTGGTGAGACCTGTCTACTAGCCAAATTGGTAGACAGTAATTTACGTCAATGTTTACGTTCTCAAGATTTGTCGTGAGAAAATATGAACAAAGATTGATTCAAAAGCGATCACAGCAGACTTTGCGTAGGCGGATACAATTAACATATAGAGGATTTGACATTCAAGAAACAGTCACAAATAGATGAAAGATTAACTTTAAGTGAGGAACAATCAATCAGAAGACTGTGTTTGTTTGCTTAACTAATCTATAATAAACTTGAACAAAGCAAGAACAACAATTGTACCAGGATAATATGAGCTCATCTTTTATTATTTCGAGGATTCTTCTCAACTGGTTACAACCTGAACGATGAAAAATATGAATTACATTAAAGATTTGAACATACTTTTCCAAAATCACAAGGAGTAATTGGTAGGAAGTAAAAGTAACATTAGTCTGGAATGATTTAACTAATTAAGAGTTATAAACACTGACTATTTATAGAATAATTCAAATGAACTGTGATCAATATTTGACAGCTTTTAAATATTTATAGAATAATTAGGCAATTAGGCTCGGAAACAAAAACAAGCTGTTGTATATTTTTTTTGTTGTCACCAGGGCAGTGCAAGATTCACCACTGTCTCTTTCTGCGTACATAGATTTGGTTTAAGTCATCTGATAGCAATTGCTTCAGCAAAGCGTAGCAAGTTAGGTTTCTTTTACTTGTTGATTATTTTGAATGACTTCAAGTTGTCTACATTATGACCAGTGTCTAATAGATGACGCGCAATCGCACTGTTTAATACTTGTGGACATTTAAGTCTCAGGTTCTTTGGTATGTGTTCAGAAATAGGAACAATAACCCTTCTCTCTGTTCTTCCGATGTATGTGCTTTGGCACGTACATGTAAATTGGCAGACACAGTTGGAGGTAACCAGAATTTACAAAATCTCAGAGTATATATTACAAAGAGTTAAGGGGTGAGAAAACAGACTTAGGTCAAGTTAAAAGGTCACTAAACCAAATAACAAAGGTAATAGTACACCTGTTATGGTATCAAAATAAAGTTTACTAACTTGTTCATCGTTCGTCAGTACGGGGTCATTTTTCATTGTCAAGTTGGTCAATTGGCAAAGATAACAAAATCAAAATCAAGTGTAGATTGTTGGATTTGATCAGTGTTTAAAATTATAAAGGCAGTGTGTGTTTACATAGTGAACTTGCATATCACATTCGTGGTGATTTTGATACTTCATGGGGGTGGGGGTGTTGTAACCAGGTCAGATTCTGTTTTAGTCCATCATTCCTATTCATCAGACAATTTGGATTCCACTTGATATGAAGTGCTTCTGATGATATTAGACGTTCTTTGTGATTTCTGAAGTGCTTTTCCTGGATGATGATTTCAATATTGTCAAAATCAATTTTGTGACCTGATTCTATAGCATGTAGACCAGCTATTGCTGGCTGATGAGTTTTAAAGCTTTTCTAGTTCAACTGGATTTCTCGGTGGTCGGACAGATACGGCTCTAAGATTTTCATTTCTTCTGATTTTGATTTCTCGAGATGTTTGTCTGATGTATATCGCATCACATTCCAAGCAAGCATTTCATTTTATAGACACAATTAGATAAAGAATCTTTAGGGATCCGGTCTTTTATATGGACAAGGTTGCTTTGTAGTGTGTGAGTCTGACGTCTTAAAGAAAACTCTAATGTCAAGATGATTGAGTACTCTTCTGATATCATCTGACGTCTCTGCTCTATATAGAATGACGACTGTCGGGGTCCATGTTTTCGGATTGCGTTTTCGGCCATACTTAATGTCTGTGTTGATTTATCGTTTTGTTTTTCATTCATTCATTGGGAAATACAAAAACCTTTATTATAATGAATATCATATACCCAATGCCCAAATTTTTTCAAACTGTTATAAGTGAACTTGGTTTGGACATATATGACAGTGGTAGTTGCCTGTAAAATAATAATAATAACACATGTAAGTTAAAATATTTACAACAATGGGAAGTGCTTTTATGTAATCATACTCCACCAGAATACCAAACACACAAATGGAATTGTATACAAACCCTATTCAAGAAAGCCAGCTAGGACTCATTGCAGCAATTCTTCCCAACTTAAGGAAAATTGAAGAAAGATATCTCATAGACGTGTCTTCCAAAAGAATGCATATCCATGGAAATTCATCAAAAGACATCTACCCCCAAGCCACCAACCTAATGAATCAAAGGCCCTCAAGGAAAGCACAAAGAAAATCGCCCTACCACACATAAAAGACATCTCAGAAATCACTGCAAGACTGTTCAAACGTTTAGGAATTGATGCCGTACACAAACCAACAAAATCACTTCACTCAGCTGGCGGCTCTGTATCAACCAAAAGACTCAACAATGAAAGAAGATACAAACCAACATCATCGACAAAATAAATTGTAACAACTGCGAAAAATACTACAGTGGCTAAAGCGGATGTCCCCTTCGTCTTCTTATCCATGAACATAAGCTAGCCGTCAAAAGCCATGACATCCACTCCCTTCCTCATATGACTACATAGAGACAACCACGGACACCAATTCGACTGGGACAAACACCATTCAAATATTAGACAGAGGAAACACCAAGAATGCTAGCCAGAGAATGTTTAGAAGCCTGCCTGGTATTCCAGTGAATCATCAATCAATAGACACATAGAGATAGACAAAATTTACCAACCGATAAGAAGGAAATCTCACACACACACACACAAAGGGTCAAAGTTCAAGTGAAGGAAACAATCAGTTCAAATTCAAGTAGCAGCCCAGAGGGTGTGAAAACACACCAAAACAACCAAAGAGTCAAGTTCAAGGTGGTCACCAGGAGAGATGACTAATAGTGAACTTGTGGAGAAATCTAAAAGCTCACTTCAACGAATTGAAGTATGCTCTGAAGATGTTGCCTGGTAGGACAATAATGAAAGCTTGGCAAATTAAGTATCCAGCTTAGAGAACACAACCACATCAAAATCATCCACCTGAGCTACAAAGCTTCTCCATCATACTTAAATAGTAAAATACACTTGTAGAAATTTAAAAGTGTGAAAGAAAAAAATATGCGAAATACATCATTATTGATTTGTCCTCAAATGACTGAAAAACAAAATGATGCTGTTCTCATCGATGTTGCCCTGTTATGTGGTAACAGTTTTGTCACTCAAAGTGAAAGTGAACTTAAAATTTACAAATCTCAGTTTTTATTAATGGTAACTTTACTATTCCATTATGGGTAAAATTTATTTTGATAAAGTCTCACAGTGCTGTTATACAGTAATATTTACTGATGAACAAGTTTCAAGCTCAATTTATTATTGCTCATAATCATATCAAGGCACTACTCACACAACTTTCTAACTTCATTTATATAATTCCATCATTATTTTCCATAGCTTGATTTGATTGGTAGTATTATTTTCCATATTTCGGGAATGAGTGATGAATCATTCCTATTGCATGTGTTGGGTGTAGATTCGATGAACCAGGCAGTATTCAGTAATCAACCTCTCTCGCGCTCCACCTACCTATATTACTTTTTAGAATTTTAACCCTCTCCCACCCTATTGGGGTGTTAATGCATGCATGCAGTGCAATTGCTGAGCTTTTTTCTAAATTACTTATCTTCTCGTGGTCAACAGTTAAAGGATGAGATGAATTAAAGTCTAAATATCTATTAGAATGCGTTGGTTTTTTCATAAACACTAGTGTGCAGTTTACCTTCTTCTACTGGTTATATTTTACAATCTAACACCATAGCTAATTCTCCTTGTTCACTTTCCGATTCAAATATGAATTTTATTCCTTCTACTTGTGAGTTTATATGTGTCAAGAAGCTAGAGAGAGATATGTTCTGTTTTTAACACTGTGAAAGTGTCATCCACATATCTCCACCATATTTTTGGAGAAGGATTAAATGTATTAAGAGCAATATTTCCCCAGCTGTTCATAAAGATGCCTGCTACAATAGGGGATATTGGTGATCCCATTGCTACACCTTCTGTTTGTCTAAATATTTTGCCTTGGAATTTAAAGATAGTAGATGTGAGGCATAACTGAATTCCTAAAATAATCTCCTTAATGGGCAAATTTGTCCAATGAGTTAGTTCAGGCATTTGTAAAATGTCTACTTCTCACTCAGATATGTATCAGTAATTATTAACACTTGGTCAAAATTCTCGACTGTCCATATCTTCTTATGGAGACGTTAAGAAATGTTTTACAACTGTTTACCCAAACACACATACCCAAGATGTGTAAAGTGTTTAACAAAGGTAGACCAATATTTGTAAGTCCGAGGCCAAATTTTGATCACAGCTC